AGACAGACAGACAGACAGACAGACAGACAGAGACGGAGACAGAGACAGAGACAAAGAGAACGTAAGTGTGCACAGGTCTGACCAGTTGATGAACCTAGACGAGGGGAGGGTCACTCGGGAACACACTTAGTGTGCATTATATAAATAACTAAGCACTGCAGCACATCCTCATTAAGAGGTTAAAAAGTAAACATGGAACATAGCAACTTAATATCTCTGTCTATAAATCTAAATTCACATTAATACTGCTATGAATATGTAACTTTTTGAAATTCATTTTATCACAATTCTAAAGAAAAATTTACTTTTTGATTCTGATACTTGCCTCTGTTCGATGAACCATTAGCCAGTTTCCATCAGATGTTTGCTTATGAAACTCCAGATAGGGATCTGACTTTCCAAACAGATCCTGCATTTAAAACAGATAGAGTTATTTGTGTTGGTTATTTTTTGAGTTTTTTTCTTGATAGGATTGATGACTGAATCCAGGGCCTCTCACATGCTAGGCAAGTGCCCTACCACTGTAGCCCAGCCCTAACACACAAACACATAAATAGCTCTCCACAGAAAATACGTATGGCTATATTTTATACAAGCTAATAACCACTTGTGCCAAGCTCCATACTACAGATATACTGGTTTTAAATACAAATCCCATCACCTTTCTCACTAATTTATAAGCTGCTGAAGTCTATAGGAAGAATTATTAAGGCAATCTTGACAGATACTTATAAACCTTCTCAAAATATTTATATTTTAAAAATACACTGATCAAACAAACAAAGTATATTTTCAACATTAACATTTTCATTCACATAGCACTAAGTAGCCTTCTGTACATGATACCCTAAACATTAACTATACTAACTCTATAAATGAGAGAACAGTTTTCTGTGAGAAAATGGATTCAGAGGTGTTAAGTGCTCTCCTCAGCTCAGACGACCAATTAACTGCTAGACCTGGGCCTTGACCTCCTATCTCACTCTTCTATGTCAAATGCCGTTTGATTGATATCAGACATCTATTTTACGGACACAGGGAACAGAGGTATGTATCCAAAGTACAAAACAGAAATACTTCAATGGCACAAATTACATCTTGTATTTCTTCTGTAATTCATAACACTCATGTTCAGTCCTCATGAAGAGCGAGCACACCAAAGCACCCTGATTTTCATTATCAACACGCAAATATATGCAGACAAAATTCTGTAATATGTGTAGATCACTCATAAAGGTTTAACACAAGTGGAGAAAGAATGCGTAATTTAACTTTATCACTTTTGTCTTCATTTTGAAAAACATTCATTGGCACATATTACTATTCTTGAACATGAAAGAATACCTGTTAATCTCAGTGATTATCCAGATACATCCCTAAAGGCTTTTGCTTCTTGAATTAAGCTCTACATAAGCACGAAGATAATGTTATTTCCCTTCTGTTCACAAAGTTGAATGTAAAGCAAATAGCACAGGTAGTACAGTCAAACACATACACAGAGACTATGAAAAGCCTTCACTTTCATATCTCTAGGAATAATCTTTAAATGAAATAAGCTCCTCTATGCCTCCCATTTTCCAAAACTAATAATAGAATCCAATATAAGTTAACTTTTCAAAAACACATTAACATGCAATGTGTGACTTATCTTAAAAATAACTCTAGGAGAAAGGCAGAATATGCTCATTACTATTTTGAAGGTTAGAAGACAGCCTTTTTAGAGAGTTCACTAAGTTGTCACTATAGCATGTGTCTAGTATGCTACTTTTACCTACAGACTAGTGGTAGGGAATAAATACAAACAAAATTTTGTATGTATACACAAATATATCCACATACATGTATATGTCTATGTACATGTGTGTGCATACAAAACAAAAATCCTTAGATTTTTATGAACAGGAAGATTAAGTCAGAAAATACAATTTTTTTAAGTTACCTATAGGAGGGCTGGCCAAATAGCTCAGCAGACTAAAATGCCTGCAAGCAGGTGCAAGGGACAGGGGTTCGATCCCAGGGCCTGCTGTGCCAGCCCTGCCCCTGGGACATGCTGAGAGGGCGATTGAGACTGGGCATGGTATCAAGCGCCTATAATTCCAGCACTTGGGAGGCTGTAAACAGGAGAATCACTACAAGTCCAATCTAGTAGTGAGACCCAGAACACCTTGTAGGCCCTTCCCTAAAATACAAAAATAAATAAATAAATAAAAATGAAAATTACCGTGAAGAAACAGAAAACAGGGTACAACAGATAGGATGAAAAGCCAAATTTCTTGGCTATCACTTCTGCAGATTTGGCTTTGCTACCATATATACATGATTTTAAATCAAAACAGATTTGTAAGAAGCAATGCCCAAATCAGGCATGGTGGCATAGACCTGTGATCTCTGTACTCTCAAGAGTCAGAGGCAGGAGGATGACAAGTCGTTGAGCTCACCTTGGTCCATTTAGCAACTTGGTAAGACCCAGTCTCAAAATAAGAATGAAAAAATGGGTATAATGGTAGCTCAGTTGAAAGTCCTAAGCTATTGCCTTTGAAGTGGGGAAAAGAATCAATTCCTAATCACCAAATGCAAAATTAAACTATGCGTCACTGTGACAGCAGAACCACAGTCATAATGTGCTTCTTTAAAACACATTTGCTTATATAACCCAAATCTAATGTACACGCCTTAATGACTAAGAGAACTTCGAAGAGAGCTCAAAGTGCTATCAATAAAAATACTGTAATGCTGCATATTTTGATTCTGAAATTATTACATGTAACACAAAAAAAGATGTTCAAATTTTGTGAAAGACAAAATAGCTATGTTGACATATTTTGAAACCAAGATTTTCAGCATAAAAGAAGCACAAATATAAAGTAAAAGGACTAAAACCTTGTAATTCTATATTTGACTTGGAAATATATGTGTAATTTTTTTATTTGGCTCTTCTTTGCAAAAAGCCTCTCTGTGCACCTGTCCAGTGAGAAGCCCTAGAGCCATAAGCAACAGTAACCAACACACATGGAGCAGTCCTAGCGCCAGACTGCGGCTCCCGAACAACAATCCTAACAAACTGAGGGAGATTCCTTTAAATCTGCCACTCTAGGGCCAGTCCGATAGCTCAGTGGATGAAAGCAGCTGCTCAGGCAGACACAGGGACCAGGGTTTGATCCCCTGCAGCAAAGCTGCGCAGACCCTGCCCCCAGGGTGCACTGAGATGGTGACTGAGACTGGGCATGGTGGCGCACACCTATAATCCAAGCACTTGAGAGGCTGAAAACAGGAAGATCACTATAAGTCCGATCTGTGTAGTGAGACCCTGAAGACCCTGTACTAAATACATACATACATACATACATACATACATACATAAACCTGCCACACTAGGTCAGAAACTAAGTCAAATACATTTGAAATATATTGTCATGACACAGAACAAGGGAATTCTGAACTTGTGCAAACTGGTCTCCGAAACAAATTTAAAGCATACCGACAGGGGCCAGATGTGGGGCACACCTATACCAGCCACTCAGGAGGATGAGGCAAGTTCAAGGCCAGCCTGGGCAGCTTAGAGAGACCCTGCTTCAAAATTCAGCTTTAAAAGATGGGACCAGCCATGCTCAGTGTTACTTGGGTTCAACCTCCAATTTAAAAAAAAGAAGTACACTCAAGACCAATGTTGGGACAATTTGGATATCAGTAAGAATTTTTAAAAAAGCACATTCAGAAGATGCTTGGGAACCAACTTACTCTGAAAAACTATAAATACAGGGATAAAAAAAAATAAACATTTTAACTTAGCTTTTTTGTATATACTGTATCTTAAAATGAATACCTAATGGGGTGAGCTTTCTCTTTATAGAAATATTCTTGCTAAGAAAGAAGCAATGATTGAGTGAAAATACCACTCTTTTCTAGAAACTTAATATATGGTCACAGGCCCAGCCAAATAGCTCAGCGGATTAAAGCGCCTACAAGCAGGCACAGGCTGGGGATTCAGCCATGAGTCTGGGTCTGCCATGCCAGCCCCGCCCCGGGGCACACTGAGACCAGAGATAGAGAGCGGGCGTGGTGGCGCGTGCCTGCAATCCCGCCTCTTGGGAAGCTGTAAACAGGCAGATCACTAGGAGTGCAATCTAGTAGTGAGACCCTAAACACCCTGTAGACCCTTCCCTAAAATACAGAAAAATAAATAAACAGTTGCTAGCACCCCCAAAATATACAACTCAGTATAAGCCTCCTGGAGCTTGACTAAGCAGGATCCCCTTCTGAAAATATCTTGCTTACAAGTCAAGACAGTATCAGATTATGCCTCCACATTCAAGTATAACTGACAGAAATCAGGAAGTAAATATAAGGAGAAATACGCTAAGTGACACCATCGGGTTTGAATTGGCAAAATGTGGAACATGAAAACTTCCACGGGACAAAAGAAGATGTTTCCTAATAATTCCAAAGATGGATGGATAGATGGATGAGTGCATGGAGACAGAAAGAAGAGGGAAGGAGGAAAAGAGAGAGGAAGGAAGAGGGGGGGTAAGGGAAGGAAAATAAGGAAGAAAAGAAGTAAAAGGGGGGTAAAAATTTATGTTAAAAGATTTAAGAGACATTTCCTTACATTACATTTTTAAGGCTTTTACAGGTGCACCAAAATGTTCATGTGTGAAATGACAGGACAGATCCAGGACAGAGGTGAGACAAAACCGGCCACAATCTTAAGAGCGGAAGGTGAGTGAGAGAGACAAGAATACTTCTTAGCAGCACTGTTCTATTTTGCTTCACACGGAAACTTCTCCAATACAGTAAGTTTGTAGCAAACTAGTCTGCTTCCAAGAAAACTACGAGGCAAATGGAAACAGTAAAGAATAATGACTGGATTATAAAACTGAATACAAAACTCACTCTAAGAATTACTGTGACCCACGTTACTTACTGACTGCTGTGTTGCTGTGCCCTGGCACCCAGCCGTCACAGAAAATGTACTACTGGCCTTTGAAGCAGAGAGCAAATCGACTTGTGATTAGGGAAGCACCAACTTTCACGTCTGTCCTGAACATGTCTCTGGTACTCTCTTTCTGACTTTCACAGTAACATGGATGCTGTATTCAGTTTCTTTTTTAATCTATGCATGAAAGAGGACAGGAGGGAGGGAGGGA